AATAAATAGTAAGAGTACCTATCTATATAAATTAATACCTTAGATAATTAATACCTACTCTCTATTCCCTAGCTATATAGTCTTTAGATAGCTCTTTACTTTTAAGCTTATAACTACCTTTATAGTAGTAATAACTCCTATTATAAAACCTACTTTATTAAAGTTATAGATATCTTACTCTAAGATGCTATATTTTATAACTATGTTTTATATAAGAGAGAACTACCCTTAAATTATCTTAGGATCTTTACATTTTACTTATTTATAATTATATTTCTAACTAAACTTTACTTTGATTTCTATATAATGCTTAATGAAGTTAGTAGTCTAGTTTATCCTAATAAGGCTCTTACCTTATTTAGAGAGCAGAAGGTCTACTATTTCTTACATGCCTTATAGCTAGGGTAGAAATCCATGTGAATCTAGGTTAAGGATGTACTAAATAAGAGCTAACTCTTCGTATAGAGTCAACTTTTATAAGTTAGGGGTAGAGTTACATTAGGAAGTTATTCTATTTATTCTGTTACTTAGGGTCCTATGTAACATGTTAAACGATAATGTAGTAGCTTAGACACTCTTAAATTAATGTTCATTTAGTACCTAGATAGCTAGAAGTAGTCTACCCTCTTAATTAGAGGATTAGGCTTATGTTAGTTATAGTATGTTGACTTTTGTTAAGTTAATGCATTTTGGTGTTTTGGTAGGTAACTCGCTTGTGTAGGCAACTCGTATGTGAAATACGTTAGTAAAAAAATAAAAATAATAAAAATTACTTCTCTTTATGAGATTTCTCTCACGTTGAAAAGCAACTGATGGACTTAATAGGACTTAATCCTATAACCTTCATATATAGATCATGAGATGTTACCATTACACCATAAGCCCTTAAGAGTGAAAGTAAGAGGGGGGGAAGTTGTATATAAAGGTTTAATTAGAGCAAAAGCTAGAGTGGGAGCTAGAGTGGCAGCCGGAGCGGGAGCTGGATTGGGAGCTGAAGGGGAGCCTAAGCAGGAGTTTACTTTGTGGAATAGAAGCTTACTTACTCTAGATCGTGATTCTCCATTTACTATGTCACATTGATAAATGGTATTAGGTAATGGTAGGTATGGTAGCTACCCATTACTTAACCTTCAGCGCAGTGGAGGCATGTAAAGCCAGCACCATGACAGTGCGGAGGCGCACTGAAGGGCAGGTAATGGTAGCTAATGGTAGCTAATGGTAGCTAACAGTTACCTAACCTCCAATGCAGTCATGGCGCGCAAAGCCAGCGCCATGACGCTATGCCCCTTTTATGCATTCAAACTTAGCGGCATATATGAATGGGTAGTGATGCTTTGCTATGAAGTTTGAGACATGGAAATGAGAGAATAAGGTGCTGGCTCTCACAAGAAGGTCTTAGATCCAAAATAGGTCATGACGCTCTGCCCCTTTTATATGTGCGAAGACTAGACTATAGAGTGAGCAAGTTACAAACTCACGTCCTACTGCAAACAAAGGCTGCTTAGTTTCCTTCTGAATGCACAAACAGATCCGCCTTTGAATATAGACTTGTGGACAAGCTCGCTCAGCACACGCCTGCCTTCTCTCCCTATCCTCTACCTCATTCTCCTGCTCTCCCAATCCTCCTCCTCTACGTCTTTGTGGCAAGGACTTGCAAATAAGCCCACTCAGCGATAAGCCCACTCAGCGATAAGCCCACTCAGTGCACTCCTACCTTCTCTCTCCATCTTCTACCTCCTCTGCCTCATTCTCTACAACGAATACAAGGCCTACTCCCAAAGCCACTACCACTGCGATCAACCATGGCAGCAGCAGGCGGATGGCAGTGGAGGCATGGGAGGAGCTGCGCTGGACATAGCTAGGTACAAAAATGGGTGGCGTAGGCACTTCCGATCCTATTTTTGAGATGCTACGGTTGAAGGTGACACCAAACTGAGTAATTTGCAGCATCTCCTGTCATGCTCAAGCATCCGAAAGAGCCTCGTTAGGGCCGGTTTAGATTAGAGCTGGCTTGGATTGCTAAATACTAAGATAGCCTATTATATAATCAAATGGATAGAGTTAGATCCTTTTCATTAACTACTACTACTCCTCGAATTCAAACATTGCTTGTGCTACAACACATGTCACTTAGATACACTCATTCCCCCACAGCGACCCCTTTGCCCAGTCTAGCCTATATATGCCTCCTTTAGCTTCAGCCTGTAGACAAAGCTACCTACAGGCTTCATGTCCATGGATTCTCGTCAAGAAGAGCCTGAAGCTCACTTAGGCCCTTGTTGAAGGCGCTGGAGCTAAGGGGCCTGAGTGGAGAACGTGCAGGAGTGGGAGACGTGGTCAGATCTATAAGAGTTGGAGATCCTGTCAGATCTACCCACCCTCTTTTGCCATTGCCTATGGTCTGAGCAGATGGAGTAGCTGGTCCGGCAGCTCGTCATCTAGCTGCCGATCTAGCTGCCGAGCTGGCTGCCTATCAAGCTGGCTGTCTACTGATCCTTGTGCTGCTAATTGGTCTGGCCGTGCCTGCAGCTGCTGTTTTTTTTTTGGCTGCTCTTGGACCCATGTTAGTGGCGGATTAAACTGGCTGTCCATCGATCTTTTTGTTGCTGGTTGGACTGGCTGCGCCCCCGGCGGCTGCTGCTTTCGCAGCTGTTCTTGGAGCCGCATTGGTGGCAGATCAAGCTGGCTGCCTGCTAAACCTTCTGCTGCTAGCTGGACTGGCTGCACCACTGCCTGCGCCTGCTTTCGCGGCCGTCCTCGGGGCCGCCTTGGTGGTGGCAGTGGCAGCGTCGCCACTCCGTCTAGGCTTGCTCGCGCGTCCTCCAACTGCTTGGCAGTAAGTTTCTGCTCAAACTCGCCAAGCTGCAGCCACTGGTGCCACAGCCCCGACACGATCTCGTACTGGCGGATCAGCTCTGGCTGGAGTCGTGTAGGGTATGCTTTGTTGATGGCGTACGAGTCCATAAGCGTCTGGATGGTATGGCCAGCCTGGCGAGCTATGCCAAGCAGTAGAGCATTGCTGCCAGTCCTTGCAGAATATGGATCAAGTGGCTTGGCAATTGTCGCTATATGCTTCTTTGCAATTGCAAGCGTAGACTGACGGTACAATGCAGTGGCCAGAGAGGTGCCAAGCATTTTCTTTGTCTGCTTAGAGATTACAGCTGATAGGTCAACTGTACAGAATGGCGTATTATCAGTTCTTGTCAAGGCGAACGAATACTGGTCGAGCGATGCAGCCACTTGAGAGCCAAGCTGAGCCTGATTACTCAAAGCCTTTACAAACGGCCGCACGTAGACAATGTATTGGAACAGGATCTGGCTGACGAGTATTGGCAGGAAGCGCACAATATAGAAGGACTTGTTCGTTCGACCCCTAGCCTTAGTATACTCTGTGATGATAACCAGCCTACCTTGGAAGACAAAGATGTTCCGCATCACATGGCGGGTGTTGCACCACTTGATGGTTGTAGTTTCAGTCCCACGTCCAGGGATGCCTCCAGTAAAGTGGATGCTGGCTGAAAGAAGCCGCTGAAAGCTGCTCACTACATGGATGTATTTCTCTGATCGAGGACGAGACCATTGGCCTCTAACCATAAGCCCTTGGCCTATGCTATCCCAGGCCCGCTGATAGAGGTGGCGGAAGGAGCCTTGTAGCTTATTTGCAGGCTCCTCTAAAAACGACCAGCCTGCCTGGATATTAGTAAGGTTGTCTTGGATTGCGTCTAAGTTGACTACTGGCTGCCAGCCAAACATGAGCTCTTGGAGGAGTTTCTGGCAGTCCTGGATTGTAACCCAGGCCATTGTACGAAACTGGGCCATGCTAAAGGCGCTAGCATTGTCCATTTGTAAGACTTGCCTATCAGGGGACCAGCTAATGTTGGCACGCTGCCCCTCTCTCTTAGCAATCGACCTACCCTTATAAAGCAGTTCCAGGATGTGTGCCATAGCATGAGGGCCGCCCCTACACAGGTATTTCCGCCTGATCAGCTGCAGCCGCTGAAGTTGGTCTAGGCAGGATGCGCAGCTAGGCCAGCCAAGGGTGCGATAAGCCTGTTGAGGAAGGGCATATTCTAGCATCAGCAGGCGGCCGACATAGGCGAGTCCTGCGAGGTAGGTCGTGTACAGGTGTGCTGTGCCGAAGGTCAGACCCTCTCGTTGAATGCCAAGGACGCCAGGGAAGTAGACTAGGGGCAGATGGGAGGTAATGCCAGTTGCTGAGATGTCGGTCCAGAATGCACAGCTAAGCTGAAATAACTGCTCGGCCAGTTCAAGCTCTGCGTCTGATCCTAAGTCTAAGACTTTGCTCAGTCCCTCTGCTGATCCTTCGCCCAAGTAGTTATCATCTGAGCTACTGTGCCCTAATTCCGATCCTTTATCCAAGTCATTGTCTGAGTCGTCATCTAAGTCATCGTCTACGTCATCTAAGTCATCGTCTAGGCCGTCGTCTAGGTCATCATCTAGGTCATTGTCCAATTCTACTACATCCTTGTTGAGAAGTGTCCAAATATGCGTCATCAAGACCTCTTGCGCTATAGAGAACTGAATGCCATAAATCCGGCTGCGCAAAGGCAGCCCTGTCCTCCAAGCACGGAAGACGAAGCAGAGAAAGCGCCTCCAATAGCCCAGATACGTGCGTTGACTAGCTTGCCGCTCAAGCACAGTGAAGGGCTTTGGACAAAAGGTCGTCTCTGTATAGCTCTTCAGCCAGCAGCGGAGTGGTTCAGGCGTGGCCTTCAGCGTCTGAAGGCAGCGGTCGAAGACATGGCTGAGCAGCTCCAGCAGCCGGCACAGCCTGAGCTCATCCTCCACTGGGCTCAGGAAGTCAGTCCCCTCCCAGGCCCCAAGGATATAGTCTGCAGTGCACAGCCTGTATGGCAGCACTGATGTGGCTGCAAGGATGTCTAGCGGCCGGTTAGCAAACTGTACTGGCCACTGGGTATGCCTCAGCTAGAGCGTTGATTCAGTAGCCTGTAGAGCAGTGCCGCCTGCCATACAGTCCTGCCTGCGCTGGTCTAGGCGTTCCTGCTCCTGCGTCAGCAGAGCTGCCAAGGCACAGGGCTGGTTGCTGTGCCTCGCACCGTCCTTGTGCTTCTTCACCTCACTCTCTGTAGCTGCGGTCCGTTCGCTGCCAACAATCCAGTACTTGGCACGCGTGTCGCTGTACCAGCTCTGCAGGGTGACTTGATGAATGAAGGGTGCACAGGCGCCTCTGTAGCGGGCGTGGTCTGCGTTGAGGTGCTTCCTGAGGCAGGTGTGGTTCCGGCTTAGGAAACGGCAGTGGTCATGGCCACAGGCGAGTCCTTCGTACGTTGGCAAGTAGGGTATAGGTGGCGAGTGGTCAGGCGGCAATGGATGCCTAGCATGGTCAGACTGGGTGACGACGTCTAAGAGCGCAGTGAATTGGTCGAGGATCTGCTTCCGCTGGCTGCGGGGGAGTGTCTTATGGATCTTCCGGAGGTGCTCTCGGAGGCCTGCTTGGAAAACGACAAAGTGGCAGGTGTGGCAGTAAAGGAAGCGGTCGCCGGCATACGTATGATTTTGGATTGGGACTGCAAGTGTAGCGGGAAGGGTGGTAGTAGACATTATCTAGTACTAATCGTAAATGTCACACTCGCGTGCGCTGTAGTGATGAGAACGAGGCGAGAGAGAGAGAGAGGCAAGAGAGAGAGAAAGAGGGAGGGAGGGAGGGAGGGAGGGAGGGAGGGAGAGAGAGAGAGAGATAAAAGAGGGTGACGCGAGACGCAAAGAGAGACGCGAAGAGAGACGCGAGGGAGAGACGTGTAGGCATGGCAGAAGGGCAATTGGTCAATTGGCCCACAGTCGCTTTTGGCCACAGATGCGAGACAAAGCGAGAAGTGAGAAGTGATATTATAACAAGCGAGCGA